TTTCTTTTCTTTTCTTTTCTTTTCTTTTCTTTTCTTTCTTTCTTTCTTTCTTTCTTTCTTTCTTTCTTTCTTTTTCTTCCTTTTCCTTCTTTCTTTTTGGGGAGTGTGTACAACAAAATATTTAGCCAGTGAGAGTCCCTGCTATTCAGAGACAATGAGCATTTTGTCTGAATACCTGGCCTTGAATGATTCTGATTCTCCTGTCTAGACCAAGGGGCGGAGCTGACAACAGGTCAGATGTCCGGCTTTATCAGGCGGGGTGGTGGTTTTGTGCCAATCTGGGCCTCCCTTACTTCTTGCCCTCCCCAACAAACTGGCATGCAGTTTGGACAAAGGAAAAAATCAGCAACTACTGTCTGTTAAAGAATGTTAGTCTTCAGATGGGGAAGGCAGGGTTAAATATTCACCACGATTGAAGGGAAACAGGTCAATAACTTTACTGTCTTTGATCCCTGTTCCTGACAAGAATATCTGGAAGTTGAGATGATTTTTAGCAAAGTGAGCAAAGAACTCTAGAGGGCAGATTAATTTTGACCTTTATTATTAAAAAAAAAAAAGAAAAAAAATATATATGTAACATTAATTTTTACCTTCAAGACCGCCCAAGATGAGGCACTTGGGTCTTCAAAATGCCATTGTGGTCTGGATACAATGTGAGGCAGAATCCACTGGGGTATGGTAGAAGGTTCAGTTGGAGAAAAGACAATCTTTATTAAAATGTGGTGGGCCATGGGGAAACCTTATCTGCTCAGAAACATTATGTCCGTGTGTCTTCACCTAGGAAGTACAGCGGGACGCCACAGAGCTTTGGTCACCAAAGACACTGGAGGGAGTGATGCAGTGGTTCTCTGCCTGGAGGATCACAATGACCCGTGCACTTCTACAGATGCCGTGGCCAAGAATCATTGCCAGAGAGTCTCCCTCACTGGTCTGAGATGGAACCTGGGCCTTTGAAGTATTTTAAAAATGAGCCAGGTTATTCCATTCAGCCAGGCTTAAAAAGGAGTAAATCATCTCAGTCTCTCTAACCCGTTTTATAGACGAGGCGACCGGAGCCCAGAGAAGTTAAATTCTTTTCTGAGAGTTACTCGGTTATGTAACGACAAAGATAAATTCTTGCACCCAAGTTCGTCAGGACTCGCCATCCGTTCTGTTTCTTCTCTGTCGTGTATGCTTGATATAGGAGATGTTTTGAAGGGAAGCTAATTATTATATTTCTCGCTGTCTTGTAAGGGTTTTGAAAACTTTTCAGTAGAATTAGAAAGTTACTGTTATTTGATGAGGTTAATTAAACTCCAAAGCTATGAGCAGGAGGAGGGCTTTGCAAAATTACATCCTAGGTTAATGGAGCCATTTTCTGAGCTTTTCCCAGCACTTTGCGGTATTCTGTCCTCAATTCCTAGCCTCAACAAGCCTGGGAAAGTGTGGTAGCAATGGATCCAGCGTCCCTCTCACTTCGCAAAGAAATCATGACCCGGGCAGGAGACACCCTGGTAGCTGACAGTGAGTGAAAGATCCTCACTCCCTTCTCCTCTCAGCACCAAGCCACGTCCTACCAAATTGGCATGCCCCAAATGCCATTCCTGGGCTATTGGAGGACCTGGCAGTTCATTCAGGTGCCTCATAAAAGTTAGAACATGAGGACCAAGGAAGAAGATACTGAGATACTAAAGCTCTGGGTTAGACATTATCTTATTAGTGTGAGTTCTAGGTAACTTTTTAAAACTGACTTAGAGAGTAGTCGCAAAATGGCCCCGCAGCAGACCCTGGGCCCTCTCACAAAGACTCTTTATTGGGGGCTACAGCTGTAAGTTCTTTAGAAAAGGGGACAGTGCTGGACTTGATTATACAGAATCTTATTTGCTACAAATCGTCTCTTCCAATTAATGCTGAGCCTACTTGTGGACCAGGTAAGTATAACCTAATTAAGGACTTGTATTTAAACCTCTCAAGTCATTCACATAATTATCTTCAGGTTTTCCCTTGCTATTCACTCTGCTTATTAGATCGGGTTGAGCCCCTTATTATAGTTTTTATATAATTTAGGTAATTGTTCCTCCGCCTCATTGTCACACTTAAAGCTCTAACCATCGAGTCTGCCAGGATGAAAGCCTTCTACGCTGAGCATTCTCAGTGGGAGGATTGAGGTGGGGTCAGGGAGTCTGTTGGTAGCACGTCATCTATAGTCTTAGACTCTTAAAATGCTATGGGATTGAATTTGATTTTTTTTATTGTCTTTCTTTGAATTATGCAAATTTAATCTGAGACTCATCACTGACTGACACATAGCAAATACAAAACTAAATGAATCCCATTTCACAAAATAAAACAGCTAATC